CAATGGTTTTATATATAGGTTGAAATAGAGATTTAAAGAAAAATATCTGATCCACAACTAGTTCTTATTTTGGCATTTAATTAATTTATGGTCACTTTTATGCTTCGTTAGTTATTTGCATTTTGTCCATTGGCAGGTCAAAAAGATGATACTTTATGCTGCAAGTTCAGCTATCAGAGAGATCAGGGAATTGCTGTTAAAGCTTTGACTGAGGTTTGCTTTATTTTTTATGACGTGTGTGATTTTGAGTCTTGAAATTGTGATTCGCTACAATGGTTTTAACAACTCACCCTCTCCGATCCCTTGCTTAGCTCTTTCTGGTTCAGTTGAATTATTCCATTGGGATACACGGAAGTAGGTTAAAGAGCTACCTGTTAACCTTTTGCTTGTTTTGGTTCATAGTTTGTGGGTGTGCTTGAAATTGAATTTTCATAGCTTACAGTAACATGCTCGCTTATATTAACCTTTCTTGAGCTTCATCTTGAATTCCTACTGTTGATGCTGGCCCAATATTATGGTGTTGGTCCCAACGCTTACTCAGCCTGCTTCTTGCACCAAATCAATCGAATGCAAATATTAGATTTCCTTTACTTTTGGTTCTTGATTGCAACTCTTCTCCGATTATTTGCATTTTCTTCTTTTATCTTTTTATTTATTTTTATTTCTGTTGTATTCTTTTTCTTTCATGTATATACACAATGCCACTTAGTTATGGCTGCATGTTATATTTGGAAACAAAAAAGATTATTTATTCGTCATCTTCTTCATTGATTCCATCTACATGATATCGGAGCAAGAGCAATATTCTTGTTAAACCTCCTGTTTGAGTTTGTAATTGCTATTAATTTTTTTTTTATTCTTCTTATTTTTATCTGTTTTCTCAGTTCTTTTAGTATATGTACTGAACCCTATCATATTGTGATGCATGCTGTTTACTAGGATTGCCCTACATTTATATGCGGCCTCCGCTTTATTTTAGGGATACTGAAATAAAAAATATTCGTTTCTTCTTCTTCCCTCTTTTTCTCTGTTTGATTGTTTCATTATAATCCTGATTGTATGGGTCTTTGGGCGTCTGGTTCAATCATGGCCAAACAGTCAACTAATCTCTTGGTCTTGGAATAAATTGCAGAAATTCTTCAAATATCCTTTTGAGTAACACGGAGAAATATAGACGCTTCGATCCTCCCAGTTACCAACCACATACCTCAATGGACAAAATTACTTGCAGTGTTGGTAGGCCGTGATGATGTTTATATGCGGAAAGGTGAGGATAACTACATCTATGGAGCAACTATGAAGTCAGCTGTCTCTTATTCAAGAAGTTGTGGAAAGCTGAAAACAGTAAGCTAATACTTTAGCCAATGAATAAATGAGCATAAATTCCCTACTTTATTGGACAACAAAAGAAATGTGGATGCTGACAAAGAGAACTTCTCGAACTTAAGAACACCTCTTGTTTTAGAAGTTTCAATTTGTTTCCTATGATTTTAGTTAGAAGTTTCAACTTGGTTCCTACGATTTGAGCCTAGTTTCAATTTTTTTTTCTATGGGGTTCAAAGTTTTAACTTAGTTCCTATTGTTTAGTAATACCTCATTGTCCTACGTTGTCGTAGACATTTTTTTTTACCGTCCTACGTTGTCGTAGACATTTTTTTTTACCTTTCAATGAATTGTTCTTTATTTAGCTGATTGTGATACACTGATAGCTGACAGTGTTAGAGTTCAGGGCTCCGTAAAAAATAAATAAAAAAGAAAGATTGGGGTTTCAAGGTTTAAAAATTATTATAAATGATTACTAGATCGACTTGTGAAATTTAACAAAACTATAAGGACAAAATTGAAAATTCAAAAATCAGAGGGACCATGAAATCTTAAACTACAAGGACCGCCTATACCACAAATACCAAATTTCCGAGATTATGATTGTATGGATAGCTTATCACTCCTTACCTAAAGTGGTTGGGGTAGGATATATTTCTCTATTTAATGAGTTATTCTTGATATTATTTTGTTTACACCTAAATTAAACTGTAATTCATAATCCATTATCAAGTTTACTGAAATGAAAAAGAATGTTAAGTTTTTCCCACATGCCTCTGAATTTCAGGATTTGAGCTCGGGGGAGAAGGTCGGCAGTGTTAAGGAGTGTGCAGACGGCTACATTCTTAAACTACGAACCCTAGAAGGTTATACAATGATGAGTCTATTGGCTTCTCTATTCTTAGTATTTATAATCATAGAGGAATTATGTTTCCACGTTATCATGGTCATCCAATTTTCTATACTTAACTTCAAGCTTAATTATTTAATAAAGGCCTTTATTTTTTTTTAATCATAATGAAAAATATAACAACTGGCTGAGTATGTCTAATCCTCATTCCTCCTTGTTTGTATAAACCCTCCTATCCCTTGTATCTATGTTACAAGTGATACTTGAGAGCATCTAAAATAAAAAACGTTATTGGATCTAGGTAGTTTGTGTCTATCCCACTCTTGCAGTTACTAGGGTGCTTATGCTTATTCCTAGTACTAAATATTTTGTGCTCATCTCATTGGGAGTGTCCAATAAAAAAGCGTCGTCGTAGGGGTACAATGAAGGTTTGAGATTTATAGTTTATCATTTGCATTGAAATAGTTTGCGTTTTATGTTTCCGCTAGTAGTTTGTTTGTTCTGATGCCTTGGTAATGCTAATGACGTCAAACATCTTACATGATTATAATACTTTATGCTTCTTGCAGCATAACTTAAATTGGCAGTGGCTTGGAAGAACTTGAAGATGAAACCATCTTAGTTACTCATTATACGGATCATGGATGCGTAGTGATTGGACCATGTTCGAATACCAGTTTTGTGTAACGTCATTGGGCAATGGAAAGGTTTGATGGAAAATTTTGGTGGCTTCTCTTCTGAAATAACATCTTAATTCATGCAGGATGGGTTAAATTTTGCTTCTTACAGGATAGTTTCTGTAATATATAGGGTGAAGCAATTGATGGTAGTCCTCTACATTTACTATGAAACTAAGACTTCAGTATAGGCATGTTTCGATTATGAAAAAAAAGAAAAAAAGAAAAAAAAAAAAAAAACTCTTATCACCTGAGGAAATAAGATAGCAACAGTATCAGTGAATTGCTTCAATTTGATTTTACACTTGAATGTGATTTTCACACCAGTAAAAGTGATTTTGGATTACTAAACTCATCTTTTAGAGTGGTTTTGACCATGATAAAAATGACTTTAACCATTTCAAAAGCACTTTCAACATACTTGTAGTTTTCTCATCGATCCTTATATTGTTTAGTTCTGGTGTAGTTGTATTTAGATTATAATGTTTATTTCTGGTCTATTTGGATTTAGTAGATTGTATAGTGGTAGTTGTAGCCCTATGAACATATTGAAGTGTAATCCCAACCTTCAATTTCACCCCTAAAGATTGTAACTATTTCAGGTTATGCAATCTTCGAGGTATGAACTGAAGTCCTTCTGTATCTTGCAATTTCATATACTTTTTCTTCTATTGGTTGGCAAACGTGGGAACATTGGTTGAATGGCTTAGGTTTAGCTCCGTAGTGAACTCTGCTAGTAAATGTTTCTAGTCGTCCGAGTCAGGGTTCTTCTGATAGATTAATTGATTCGTAATTGGCCCCCACTGTCAACTACAGCATGTGAACTTTGACCCAACGATGCAACCAACCATCTTCTTCTACTCTCTGCATCAGCAATCAGCAATCAGCAATGACCCCAAGAATTGAGAAGAAAATTTGTCAACAACTAGCAGGTAATCTTTCTTTAATTTTCATTATTGTACTAATTGATCATTTAATAAGCCCACTTTGTCACTAAGCATCCATGGTAGCCGTAGACGGAAGTTTTGTGGTAATTTCAGAAAAATTGATTTGAGTTTCTGAGGGAATTTAGTGTGCTGAGTGTATTCATGAGAATTGGGAGGATAGAGAAATCTTTTAAGATATATAGAAACCTAAAGCTGACATTAATTAGATGCCTTGTTTGGTAGTTGTCTTGTTTTTTCTTTCTTGCTTTCATATTGATGAATGTTCACCAACCTTCACATGCCCTTCATCTTTGCATGATTTTACGCTCTCTCTCTCTTCTTGTTTTCTTGTCGAGAGTCTTATTTGTCATGAAGGATGGATGATGACAAAAGGAAAAGGAGACCTATAATTCTCGTTCTTCATTTCCTTTTTTTTTTTTTTTTATTATTATTATTTATTGTTTTCTAGACAAGATATTGATATGATAAGGACATAGGATCCACGGTCTATCTCTTCATTTGTATGTTCATAATCCCTCGTGATTTTGTTTTGAATATACTTAAAAATTTATTTACTAATGAAAATAGTTGCTCTCACTTATTATATACTTTGGTCACATTCCCAACCAAGACTTTATTTATGACAAAATTAGTTATACTCCTGAGAAATATTTTCAATTATTAGTATTATTTGAATTTAATTCTATATTTTCCATACTTATCTATTTTAATTCTTGTATTTTGAAAAATTACTATTTTGTCCATTGTTATTTTATTTGATTATCACAATTTTAACTTTGCATTCAAGAGTTTATATTGGGTGTAAGGTTGGAGTTGACCTTATGCAAACAGTGATAAAATAGTCATTTTAAAAAGATATACGAACCAAAATATACTTTTTTTTTTTTTTTTTCTTCTTAGTTGATGGACTTAAAAGAGAAGATATTTTGATTTTAAAAAAAGAACTTTAAATACATTTTAGACCTTTTCTTCAATAATTTATCCCACTGTTTCTGCTTTGAAGTTTGATTACTCAAGGTATTTAAAATCGCGCCACGTAGGGACAGTTGGCCAATTCACAGCTTGCAATTTAGAGTTAATTTTAACCATGGTTGAGGCATTGTAGTAAACAACTTTAACCCAATTATTGCATATATTGTTATAGCTAATGAACTTTATATATTGTTTTAGAAAAAATATTAAATTTTAAATTTAGCATTTAAACTAAATTTGTATTGATTTCGTCTTTAAAATAAATGATTTTTCTGAAAAGGGTACTCGCCTTTTTTTTAAAGGCAAATAACATAAATGTTTTTTTTTTTTTTTTTTTACCCACGTCAATATCACGTAAACAAAGATACTTTTTTAGGGCATCAATTCATTTTTTAAAGTTTTTTAGAAAAATAAAAAGGAAAAAGGAAAAAGTAAAAATGGGATATGATGAGGCGTTGAATGAAGTAGTAAAGATTCAATAAAACAATAAAATAATATATTGAAAAAACAAAAAACAATAAAATAATATATTGAAAAAACAAAAAACAATAAATACAATAACAACTATCAACAAGAAAAGTAGGATAGAGAGTAATGGGCAATAATGTAAATTGAAATAACTCACCGAGGGTACTTTCGTCATTTCGCTTACAGTTACTGACTCCCTTTCTCCTCGCTCACAGCACTTCCCCCACAATAATAAGCCATCTTTCCATTTTTTGCTTTATGGCGAAAAAAAACCAGATTTCAAATTTCACTTTAATTCCCTATGCTTTCTCCATTATTTATAGTGTCTAAGCTCTGTATATCTTGCAGATCTCTCTCTCTCTCTCTCTCAAAAAATGGTGGCGAAAACCAGTCCATTTACCTTTATCTTCGTCCTTCTCACTCTTCTCTCTCTCTCCACCGCCTTCTCCGATTTCCAAACCCTAGTCCCCAGACCTCTTCCCACTTCACCTTCCTCCTTAGCCCCGGAATCCAATGAGGATTCCGACTCCTTCTTCTCATCTGAGGCCACAGAATCGGAGCCTGGTTTAGCGTTGCACCTTCACCATTTGGACTCCCTCTCTCTCAGCCGAACGCCGGAGGAGCTCTTCCATCTCCGCCTTCAAAGGGACGCTCTCCGAGTCAACAAGCTCAGTTTACTTGCTGCTGTCTCTCCAAATGTGAGCCGAGCGAGTGGGACTGGGTTCAGTAGCTCCGTGATCTCCGGACTCGCTCAGGGCAGTGGTGAGTACTTCACGCGCATCGGCGTCGGCACTCCGCCCAGGTATGTTTACATGGTGCTCGACACCGGCAGTGACATAGTTTGGCTACAGTGCGCTCCTTGCAAGAATTGCTACTCTCAGACCGACCCGGTTTTCGACCCGGTTAAGTCTGGATCTTTCTCCAAGGTTCTCTGCCGTACGCCGCTCTGCGGCCGGCTCGAATCTCCGGGGTGCAACCAGCGGCAGACGTGTCTCTACCAAGTTTCTTACGGCGACGGTTCCTACACCACCGGCGAGTTCGTCACCGAAACCTTGACCTTCCGGCGGACCAAAGTGGAGCGCGTAGCCCTAGGTTGCGGCCACGATAATGAGGGCTTGTTCGTTGGTGCGGCAGGACTTTTAGGGCTGGGCCGGGGTGGGTTGTCGTTTCCTTCGCAAACCGGCCGGACTTTCAACCAGAAATTCTCCTACTGCTTGGTGGACCGGTCCGCCTCTTCCAAACCGTCCTCCGTCGTGTTCGGCAACTCCGCCGTGTCTCGAACCGCCCGGTTCACTCCTCTCCTCACAAACCCCAGACTGGATACGTTTTACTACGTCGAACTTCTAGGGATCAGCGTTGGAGGTAGGCCCGTCTCCGGCATCTCCCCTTTACATTTCAAGCTCGATTCGACCGGTAACGGCGGAGTCATCATCGATTGCGGTACTTCTGTGACTCGGTTGAACCGACCGGCGTACATTGCCCTGCGTGACGCCTTCCGTGCCGGAGCTTCAAGTTTGAAGTCGGCGGCGGAGTTTTCTCTTTTCGACACATGCTACGACCTGTCCGGGAAGACGACGGTGAAGGTCCCAACGGTGGTGCTGCATTTCAGAAACGCCGACGTGTCGTTACCAGCGTCCAACTATCTGATCCCGGTCGACGGAAGCGGGCGATTCTGCTTCGCCTTCGCCGGAACGACCAGTGGGCTGTCGATCATCGGCAACATTCAGCAGCAAGGATTTCGGGTGGTGTACGATTTGGCAGGTTCTCGGGTAGGATTCTCTCCTCGTGGTTGCGCCTAATTTGGTCGAGGCAACGAAACGCGGTGGCCGGGAAAATCCTCGGCCGCGGTGTGTCCAAAACAAAACCCTTCCCCCCTTTCTTCAGACATGTGATAAAAAAAGAAAAAAGAAAAAGGAAAAAGGGTAAGCAAAGAGGGAGGCATGGGGGGGGAAGAAAAAGGAGAGTCCAACGGCGTCGTTTAACTTTGACTAGTTTAATTGATTTGGTTTTTGTACGTCTTTATCTTTTCCTGTTCTTATTTTAATAATTTATGTATGGGAAGTGTCGGTAATTTTATAATTTATTTAACTCAATTATGAAAGATGAATATTTATAAATGTTATAGCATACAGTAACACTAACGTGGTGGTTTTAGTAGTGATGTGTGATTTCATTTCATTTGGGTGTTTGCATCGGAATAAGAACAAGGGATTCATGATTTATAGAAAACCCATCGTCATTCCCAGATCTCGGAGGAACTCGATGAGGGAGAAAGCTAATTGAATTGCGAATTTCTGAGAGGATACTGAGATTTCCGGCGGTGATATTTCAAGACTCGAATTGGAATGTGAAATGGGTTTTTTATTATTAAGGAGAAGCCATAGATTGAGCGACAGAATTGGGATGACCCAAAAACACCATTGATTGCAACAGAAACGGAGAGCGGGAAGAATGTGGTTGGTTCCAAGCTGGTGAAGTGAAGTGAAGTGAAGTGAAGTGAAGTGAGGCATTATCTTCTTCTTCTTCACCATGAACTGACTGACTCGTGAATGAAATTCAAATTGAAGCCTTTCATTCACATTGAAGCCTTTCTCTGAGAAAGGCTTGATCATCAAGCCTCAACATCACAGCCTATTCACTCCACTCTCCACAAAGCTGGGAAGTGCTACTGTCATGTCCCTGTAAGCAAATGCCTTGTGTCTTTTATGACGCCATACACAGCATACACCACACAAGTATCGCATCAGTAGATGAAAGATTCGAAACATACATGAGATATGGAAGAGTCATATGCTTTAGTAGAGAAGGATTCTGTTCCGCATATGCTTTCCACTCTTCCTCATCAATCTTACCATCTCCCTTTGCATCTGCTTCACTAAAACTCTGCAAGTGCAAACAGAAGCAAACTCACTCAAGTTTTGGGGGCGGACAACAACTATCAAAACACTCATTCCCTCATCATACTTACCTTCTCCACAATCATTTCAACTACATCGTCGGGCAGCACTAGATCGGATTCACACAGAAGAGCCAACACCATCTCTCTCACCTGTATCGGATACAAACCTTTACTTTAATCCTCTAAATCTATCATTAATTCATTTGCAACATACCAAGTTGCAGTTTCAGTCGTCTGGGATTTGTAATAACATTTCTTTTACCTCTTCACGCTCAATGAACCCAGTGTGCCTAAGATCATACAGCTTAAATGCATCTGGAAATTTGCATATTGAATCAGTCTTTAACTTTGAAGGAACCGAGAAAGCACGAGCTAGAGCGAAAGCTAGAGGGGAAAGGAGAAACTACGGAAAAATGGTACAAAACTTTGCTTTGAAAACACAAAGACAGTCATATCCATGTTCTTACGTGCAATCTTGACTGCCTTTGGAGTGTTGGGATGAAAGACACTCAGTGTCCCAACAAACTCCTCAAACCCAATTCCTCCATTTTTGTTAGCATCAAACAGATCAAAAATCTGCAAAACAAACAAGAAAAAACAAAGTCAACTGTTTGTACAAGGTTTTTGAGAGATTAAAAAACATGTCGTACATACCCTGTCCAAAAAGAGGTTCCTTTGGTTCACATTATTGAAGATTGCAAGCCCAAGTTCTTCCTTGTAAATAAAAGAAAGAAAGAAATGAAATCAGAATCACAGCAAAGATGAAGTCACATGGAGAGAAGAAGATACCTTGTGTATTAGGCCGTCTTTGATTACGGAATCGCTCAGTTTCTGAAATAGCTTATGCAAATACTCAATCTCCCCCTCTGAAACTGCCAACAGAGATTCAGAACAACCAAATTAGGACAAGAAATCAAATGAAATAAAAGACAGCAGAGAAGCTTAGAGACAGACAAGGGGTATCAGAAGCAAGAGCAGAGCGGTCATGCGAGGGAGAAGGAGCTGGTTTTGAGGTATTGCAACCCATCGTGTTTAAACTAAGGAATCAATCATCATCATCCTCATCGCCATTGTTGACTTCTGCAGCAACCAGACATGGCTTTTATTCATCCAAATCCCAATTCCCAACGAGATGAACCACAAATCGTTGACTTTGAGTTTCACTTGGACCCACTTTGTATTTTGCCGTTATGGGTGAAAGTTAAAAATGGTCAAACCGTTGAACTGCAAGTCTTGGCTCTCCTCCATAATTCGTGGACTAGCTGTGATACGTGTGATTATGTGCTGATCAAGGTATGATTTTTTAACAGTTTAATGAATTGATGACTATATATATTTAGAGGGTAACTAATATGAAACACAAAGTAATAGAATAAGTGATTTCAAAGTTCACAATAATCAACTAGTTGAGCTAAAAGCACTTCATAAAATCAAAAATTGAGTGAAGAAGTACTTTTCCATGGATGCAAAAAAACATAACATGCTCTGTTTTCCTTCGTTGGTAGAACAAAGAAGAAAGCTATGCTCTTAATTAACCGACTTGTTGATGCCATTTATGAGCCATAACGCGAACAAATGGGCCATTTCCATAGTGAAAAGGGTTGGATTCCAACGAAGTTGAGTTCAACATGGAATCACGGAACCCTGACAAAAGAACCAAGCGACCGCAATGCCTAGCAGAGCACCAGCAAGGACCTGCGATGGCGTGTGACCAAGCAGCTCTTTCAGCTTTCTTTTGCTTATGGGATGCCCTTGAAACAAGTCCTCAACGATAAGATTAAGAACCTGCATTCACCCATTTCCCAAATATTTCACTATAAATCTTTGCACCACTAAACCTTATGCCTTATTCACTGAGGAAGCAATTTGATGAAAACACCTAAACTTAGCAACTACGAAGAATTTCAGAGCAGATTTCATGGAAACTTGCAGGAGATGATGTAAAACAAACAAGATTTAGTACCTCAGCTTGCATGCCGGCATGTCGACGAACGCCAATAGCATCGTACATAACAATAAGACTAAACCCCAAGCAGACAGGAAAAAGGGAGTCCGCTACGCCATGACAGAGAGCCACCGAAGTCGTCAAAGCCGTGCACAATGCAGAGTGAGACGAAGGCATCCCACCACAACCAAACATTATTTTCAAATCCCATTTCCTTTCCACGAAAAAGTTCAACAAAACCTTCGTCGATTGTGCAAAGAACCACGCGAACAACCCCGAAACAAACGTCGGGTTCGTCGCCAATGTAGCAACGAACGGACTAATCCGATGCTTCGCGGTTGCGGTTATGCTTAACAAAGCAATCCCGAAACTCCCACTTTGTAAGTAACTTCCATTCAATCCCCCATCTACAAATCTCTCTGAAACACTACGAGCTTTGTGGGTTTTGGACAACACAACGCCTTTGATACTTTGCAGCACGGGAACCAAAACCCAGAAGAGATTCGAACCAAAACTGCGATCACCGCCTTCAGATTTCTGGTTCGAAGTTGTTGGACGATTGGTACAAGACAACTTATGGGGAAACCTTCGAAGCTTTTTGAATTGATTAAACCCAAAAGCCAAGAAGTTGGTGGAAAAAGACCTGGTAGGTTGTGGGGAGCCTTTGAAGATGAAGGGACTCGATATAAGACCTATACTGAGAGTTTCCATAACAAGGGGTTCTGTTTTCTGAGTTCAACGAGCATTTCAGGTGGAAAAAGGACGAAATGAAGCAACGACCTCTCGTGGATTTGAATCGTTTGCTGTTTAGAACATTGGAGAGCCTTCTAAAATAGACTTTCTTCAACTTTACAAGTAAAAAAACGAACTGTTCAAGCTTGGATTTCACAATGGCGAGTTACACAATCTCGCTACCAAGTAAAATGCTCTTTTGATGCTGAATTATTGATAACAATTAGAAGGACTTTTAGAATCGTGAAGAGGCGGAAAGAGACATTGGGGCCGGCGTGGGGGAAGTTTCAGCAAAAAGAAACATAAGAGAAGCAGGGATCACCTATTTGTGAAGGAATGTGCGGCGGTATCCTTACTCGAATTTCCTTGTGAGACTATGGTTCTCAAAGCATATGCCAATCTTTTATCATTCACCACATCCATATATTTTGAACATACATATATTTCTTCTCTTTTAGCTTACTTTGGTCCCAGATATTGTTCAAATTTTGAGATTGTCTTTTAGGGAGGTGGTGCACGGGGAAGGAAGGTTAGAATGTCAACATGCGTTTTTTGACTAGATAGTACCCTATGTGAGGTGAAGTGAATTCGATAATAAATAGGTGATCCAATATGTTTTTATAGACATCAATAGTCTTTCAAATCCCAATGTCTTGACTCGAGCGAGATCTAATTGGCATAAACAGCTTCAAAAGGTATCTATTCTTTTTGATCGAGAGCTTGATTCAAACTACTCTCATGGAAAAGGTTGATTCAAAAAAATAAATGATAAAGATGCCAGTTTCAATTCCTTCAACTTTACACCACCTTCTCTTTATCTCTTTTTAGGACATCCAAAAGTGCAACCTTTTTGGATAATTAGACACATTGTTGGAAGGTTTGATGATATTATTGGGCTGTGGAAAGTGGCCAACGCCTAATTATGGTATCTTCCAACACAAAACAAGCCAACCTCTTTGAACTTTTGAAATATCAAGCACTTCCTCAAATTGTATTATATTAAAGTTAATGAATTTATGAAGATTTGCCAAGTTCATATAGCTTGCAGGTTCACAAAAGGAAGAGTTTTGTTATTCATGGAAGAAGAGTTCATAGATGAAAAGAGGCTGTAAAAAGAAGGAAAATGGGAGGTGGGTTTCGCGGGAAATGATGATTTTGCTATCAATTACCAACCACTGTCCCAAGTAGCTATCACCACCACGAACCAACTAACGTTTTTTCAATCAATCCATCCTTAGAGCCCAAGTTACTGCAACCCTTCAACCGCCTCCCCATTCTCCCTTTCAGCAATCTACTCTTCTCCTTTCATTTGTTCTTCATCGTCTTCAACTCCATTTCCTCCCATCATTCATTACCCATCTCAATCCCACCTTCAAAAACCCTTCTCCTAATGGCAAAAAGGGGTTTTCTGATACCCCTACCCAAATCTGTTATTGGGTTCTGTTTTTTACTCCTTGTTTTGAACCTGCACCAGCAGTCCATGGCGGCCGATGACGATGAGGATGATTATGTTGAAGTAGATAGCAGCAGCGGCTACGACAGTTACAACGGCGGTGTATCGGAGCAATGCGATACTGATTTGAGGAGCTTTCTTCCACCACCATATGGTAATCTAACCAATGTCATCTGCAAACCCATCTGGAATACATTTGTATTACGGGTAAGTTCGATTTGAATCTGTAATGTTTTCAATGTTTTGGGAATAAAGAAAAGGAAGCTTGAAGGATTTTTGCGTTGGATTCTGCAGTATACACAAAATGAAGAACATGTAATGAACATCATCGTATCAGCTTTATACACAACTGGTTGGGTGGGGATTGGGTTTTCTAGAGATGGGATGATGGTGGGATCAAGTGCAATGGTGGGATGGGTAAACAAGAAAGGGCATGCAAGAATCCACCAATACTATCTGCAGGGAAGAAAGCAATCAGAAGTAATTCAAGACAAAGGAGAATTGCCTCTCACTAACGTTCCTTCCTCGGTTGTGTTGCATGGTGCCACCATTTACTTGGCATTTCAGCTCAAATTCAGTGCCATGGTTTCTCAGCAACCGATTCTCCTGGCTTTTGGGAATGCGTATCCCAGACACAATCATTTGTCTGCTCATAGTGATAAAACTGCTGTTGTTTTTGACTTCTCTGCAGGTTTCTTTTGCTGCCAACACCAAACTTTGTCTGTTAAATGTTTGTTTTAATACCATTAAGAGTTTCTTATATTGCTGTTTGACGCAGGTTCCAAGTCTTCAGCAGCAGCAACAGCAGGCAGTGACATTGGGCAGACAAAGAAGAACCATGGTGTATTGGGGATAATTGGATGGGGCCTCATCCTTCCAGTTGGAGCGATCATTCCCAGATACTTCAGACATAAGGATCCTCTTTGGTACTATCTTCATTCAGTGATTCAGGTTGTGGGCTTTGCCATTGGCCTTACAACTGTCTTACTTGGAAGACAACTTTACAACAAAATCAATGCCAACGTACCAACTCATAGAGGCATTGGTATCTTTGTCCTTGTGCTCAGCATTCTCCAGGTCTATTTCAATCTCTCTGTTTAGGCCCAAACCCAACTTACTTGGATCAGAACCATTAAATATCTCTTTTAAGTGCACTTGTTAATACACATGAGGCCATCATAAGAACACACATTTAAAAATCAGAAATTTCAAAACACGTAATTGATATCACCACTGGTTTGGTTGGTTTGGGGGAATTCAGGTACTGGCATTCTTTTTGAGACCCAACAAGGAAGCTAAAATCAGGAAGTACTGGAACTGGTATCACCATTGGTTTGGAAGGATTGCTCTGTTTTTTGGAGCATTGAACATAGTGTTGGGAATTCAAATTGGAGGTGCAGGAAATGAATGGAAACTAGGCTATGGGTTTCTTCTTAGCATAATACTTATTGCAGTGATTGTCTTGGAAGCATTGGCATGGGTGAAAAGATCAGATAAAGCTGCCATGAATTCATTTCAGATGAATCCTTCACCATAATTAACCATTGTTTCAGGTCTGTTCTTGTTCTTACATCAATCATTTGTTTCAAAATATGAGTGCATTTCCCTATTTACGATATTAAACTAACCTCATGGTGATGCTAAAATCTGCCTTTTCAGATCAGGAAACAGAAGATTGATATAATTTGAAGTTCATTGAGGGCTGGATCCTGGTAGAACGTTAAGTTCTTCTATATTAAGCCGAAACCTTTCAACGACGAAGCTCTCTCGATCATCGATGACGATTACATTAGTTAATATGTTTGTGAAATAGGAAATTGATGGTGTTTGTTTTCCCAACTACAAGTTTTTGGAGTGGTGAATCGTTTGCAGGATGAAGAAGAAGCCTTTGTATTGTTAAGTGTTAACTCTGTTTCAGACGATATTAAGACGATCAATGCATTTTTGTAAAGTATGGAAACAGAACTCTGTGTGATTGTGTATCAATCATCTCATTTCTTCTGCTATGTATGAAAGTAATTTAAGAACAGTTTTCTGTTACAGTTCACAAATTCCAGGTTTATTCCCAAAATGGAGAAAGAACAGTGGATGAGTTTGGAACAATGGTATAGCAATGAGAGGATGGAGCTGAAAAAGGTTAGCAATTAGAGCATGAGAGTTTCATTTCATGGGGGTATCCTCTTCCATATCATTTGAATGATATGGGGTAACCTCTTCCATATCATTTGAATGATATGGGGTATCCTCTTCCATATCATTTGATGGGTATCCTCTTCCATATCTAGGATGGTAAACTCAGGCTTGTTTTAACATCCAACTTGGTTGGAGAGGAAACACATCATTGTTTGTAAAGACGTGGAAACCTTTTCCTAACATACACACATGTGTTTTAAAATTGTAAGACTAAAGGTTATATGTAACCGTTCAAAATGGACAATATTTGCTAACGATGAGTTTGGACTGTTACAAATAATATCATAGCCAAACACCGGGCGGTATACCAACGGCGGTATACCAACGAAAACGCTGGACTCTCAAGGGGCAGACTGTGAGATCCCACATCGGTTAGGAATAGGAACGAAGCATTTAGAAGAGTGTGAAAACATCCGTCTAATATACACGTTTATAATCGTGAGGTAGACGACTCTATGTAACCATTTAAAACTACTCTGATTATTAGATGAAAATGAAAGAAGTTTATGGCAAGTAGAGGATAATCGTATGGATTTAAAAAAAAAAAAAAAAAAAATTAGCCGACAATTAAATTGTAGTTAGTTTTCTGAATGTACTCGACGCACTTTGGTTAGGTCAAACTTGAAAGCAGAAAAATCTGGTTATGAACATGCTTATGGGATTGACAAATAAGAGGAAAATGAAAGCACCGTAATTGGGTAAAATGGCGGATTACCAATTGTTGCTGAGACCATCTCAATCCCATAAAGCGTAAATCCTCTCTCTCTCTCTCTCTCTCTCTCTCTCTCTCTCTCTCTCGCTCTCGTGTTCACGCGCACACTTTTCTGGAGAATCTAGATACTGCTTTCTATCGACCGCCCTTTGCCTCCATGCTGTTTAGCTAGCTTATCACCCTATTGGGATTTGCTACAAATTTCGTCTTCTTCGTCTCTAAATGGCCGATGTTTCTAGATTCTCGTCCAATTCTTTCTATTTCTCCTCCACTTCTTTGCCACCCTCTTTCGCCTCCTCCTACAATTCTCTTCACCCTTGCCTTCAACCCATTCAAAACCCAGAAAAGAGGTCGACTCCTTTGGCATCTTATTCTGCTACCTGTCTAATGCCTCTTTCTTTCACACCCAGAAAGAGGTTGGTATCTTTCAAGGTACATAACTATTCTTTTCCTCGGATTTCTATTGTATGATTGTTAGTTCTTGGCAATTAACAGGGTTTTTTTATTTATGAATTTAGTTGTACTAGGATACCTACCCCCTAACTATTTGCGCTTTGGCGCTGGCCCGAAGATGTCAGGAAAAATCTGTTTGTTGGGGTTGTTTGAAGTTAATTTTCAATTTGAAGTTTTACGTGCTGAATTGCAATCTGAGCAGATTCCATAAAACCCTAATGGGGAGGCCCATAGACAAAGGTGGATTCTTGTAATGAATTCACCGAGAAGTAAGTTGTACGGCCGACAGTATTGCCGTGGCAATGGAACCAGCTGCTTGTATGGTCTAATCGAACAGTTCAAATTGTCTTCGTATTTCGTGTTTGCATTTTTATTAGTTGAAATTGTTGACTACATTTGCTTGACCAACAATTCTTTCCCATGTGCATTCGATTCTCAGTTGACACTTGTAGTCCGGTATACCAAGTTGTTATATGTTCCAATATAGCCTGATTCTGGTTAAAATTTAGTACCCTTGAGGCACAAAATGATCACAAGTAAATATGGTGCAAGTCCGTTGGGATGGTTCGTGGACAATATGTCTCTGAACGGTAGGATTTTCACTGGCAGCTATGAGATTTATCTGAGATTTGAAGTTTACTTCATGGTTGGGAACCACAGTTAAATTGGATTTTGGAAGGATGCTTGGTTGGATAGGATAACTTTGATCTTCATAATGCTTTTCCTGAACTTTATGCCCACCTGACTCTCATTTCAGATGTTTCTAAAAGGTCTGAACAGAGATAACTTGTGGAGGACCTTACCTTTCAAAGTTCATTCAACGAGAGAGATAACTTGTAGACCTTACATCAAGACAACATGGAAGGTTTTCATATATCTCATCATCTTGATTCAAAATTCTGGAAGTTGGAGAGTTGTTGGAGAGTTCTAGCATCTTTACATGTAAATATTTTTTTGGTTACTGTGAGATCCCACATCGGTTGGAGAGGGGAACGAAGCGTTCCTTAGAAGGGTGTGGAAACCTCTCCCTAATAGATGCATTTTAAAACCGTGAGGCTGACGTTGATACATAACGGGTCAAAGCGGACAATATCTGCTAGTGGTGAACAGATATGTGAATCTCTTTTGATCTCTAGATGGAGGTCCTTTGGCTGAAGAAGTTTGTGATTGCTTCCTTTGTTTTTCATGGAATGTCTACGGAACAACATCTTGTAATTTCGCCATGCCTTCCTGAGGGCAGGAGGATGTACTATTTGTCCATCTTATCCTTTTAGACACGTTTAATTGTTTAAAAAAACTTTTTAGTCAAACAAAATGAATAAGTTAATCATTTTCTCAGTGGCTCCTGTTAATTGTTCTATGATGCCACAGGTACAGGCTGCTGTGGCTGAAAAAGACCAGCCAAAATGGTGGGAAAAGAATGCACCAAACATGATTGATATACATTCGACACAGGAATTTTTGACTGCACTAAGCGAAGCTGGTGATAGATTAGTTATTGTAGAATTTTATGGAACCTGGTGTGCTTCTTGCAGGGCATTATTTCCCCGGGTAACTTTCTTCATCAGTGCTTTATATTTCTTTAGATTGTGAAGTTGGCCTGCTATTTGCATTTATCGTTGGATAATCAGGACATGCTTTCAGCATTTTCTGAAACTCGATGTAGGACCAGCTTATTGAACTATTAGTCATTAAATGAATGTGTTATAAGAGACAATGACTGCTGGATTTGTTGGCTATCAAGATGAAAAGCTTTAAAATACCCTTTGCTGTACTTTCAAAGGCCTCAAGGTTTTCTAGCTATCTATGTCAATTTGGTTGAAACTACAAACGATTGCTCGATCCTTTAAAACTTTGCTAATCAAGAACTCTTCTGAATATTTGATATCCGAAGAACCTAGTCTGAAGATACTCTAGATATATGATCCTGTGATCCACTTGTTTGAGCCTGAAGGGACGGCCAGTTCTTCAATTCATTGGATTACATGTTTGCCACATTTAGTTGAAGAATTGCAGAATTTCTAGAAAACTGCTCATATGAAGCGACTGGATTAACGTAACAGCCCAAGCTTGAAAGGGGAACGAAACATTCCTTATAATATAAGGTGTGGAAACCTCTCCCTATCGGACTCGTTTTAAAACCTTGAGGGAAAGCCCAAATAGGGGAATATCTGCTAGCGGTGGGGTTAAGCTATTACAAATGATATCTGAGTCAAACACTGGGCGGTATTGCCAATGAGACATTGGGCCCCCAAGGGGGGTGGATTGTGAGATCACACATCAGTTGGAGAGGGGAACAAAGCATTTCTTATAAGGGTGTGGAAACCTCTCCCTATCGGATGCATTTTAAAACCTTGAGGGCAAGTCTGGAAGGAAAAGTCCAAAGAGGACCATATCTGGTAGTGGTGGGGTTGTATGCTAGTTGGTCCTTAGATGTGGAAGAGAAAGGTGTGTGTTTCGAATATATCCCAAGGTAGAGGCATAGTATCTGGGAAAATTTAGTAGTTTGATCAAGGAAGCGTGTTTTCTTTTTATTGTCCTCTTTATTGATTTTCTGCTGCAGCAGCAGTTCAGGCATTATCTATCGCTGAGTTTATAACGAGAAAGCTCCATAACACTTCTTATTTGCACGGTTGTTTCTTACATTAAATGATTGTGTTATTCATTGGATTTAATATTTGTTGTTTCTCAACTTATCATACTTTGTACTTTCCTGTTTCATGGTCTGACGATTTGTATATGCGTTGAAATGGAACTGTCAGCTCTGCAGAACAGCTGATGAACACCCTGAGATTTTATTCCTAAAAGTTAATTTTGATGAAAACAAGCCAATGTGCAAAAGTTTGAATGTCAAGGTCCTTCCTTATTTCCACTTTTATCGTGGAGCTGATGGACAGTTGGAGTCCTTCTCATGCTCACTCGCAAAGGTTAGTATCCTCCTTTTCCTCCCCACCTCCAATATGTCAATTCATTCTATTTTCTTGGGTTAGCTTATAATGAGCAGAATGTTAAAATTTCGAGTCACAGATGCGAATTTGATAGAAGGATTGATTTGAAAACTATATTAAGTTGTTGATCTTATGGCAAGTAGTGATATTTTTCCTAGAACTTTCATGAAATGATCATATAAGTAAATATTTTCAGAATTTGAACTCTATCTAACCTTTCTCCTTCCCGCAGTTTCAGAAAATTAAAGATGCAATTGAAATGCACAACACAGCTCGTTGCAGCATTGGGCCGCCAAAGGGAGTAGGAGATCTTATACTGTAGCCCTCCTTGGCTCCCAGGACGAACACTTGCTGCAAATCCACATCGGTATCATTGTGCATTCCCCTGGTATTAATATAACCTTCTTGTTTAAAAGGAAAAAAAAAAAAAAAAAAAAAAAAAACATTCTGCAGTCAGCTATCCAATCTGTAAATTTGCATTCTTGTTCTGTAAAAGAATTCAGAAGTTGAGAATACCAATCATAAAATATTTTGCTTGCCAAAGTAGTAGCAGTAGCACCGTTTGTTCTAGCAACAGTCGAAAGCTACTTTTTGTGTGCATTGAATAATAAATTTAGTCACTAGTTTCTGATGAACATCATGCTCATTCCATCTCTCAGCTTTCAAGTGTTTTAGTTACATTTCTTTCAATTTTGATTCCAATTCTTCTCCTGCACCTGAAAAGAACAGAACACAACAATTCAAGTGAAGTGACAACTAACAAGGTCACTTCACTTACTTCACTCAACCAATTAGAAATACAAAACCCCATTTTGTGTGGCAATAACCATAAAGATCACAGAAGCTGCATGGGAGCAGATTTTCAGGGAGTGGCTCAAGAAAATGGATATTAAAGGCACTCAAATCGTAATCCTCACCTCAAAACATAAACACCCACCAGTACTGTTAGTATAATTTCCCAAGTGGAACATGTCAGGAATCTTCCATCTCCGCTCGACCATCGGGGCCCTGGCATTTGTTGCAATCTTCACATGCTCCCAGATGGTCACTCTGTCTCAGAGTGCCGACGTGGAAGCTTGCATACCGGTGGTGCAGGAGTTATCACCATGCTTGGGCTTCATCAAAGGCAGCGACAGCGCGTTTGGCGGCGAGAATCCATCACCATCGTGCTGCACCGGCGTTGGAAAGTTGGTCGACGATGCTAAAACGAAGAAAGATAGGGTAGATTTGTGTGAGTGCATCAAGACGAGTTTGTCGATGATCGGACCTTATGATCCGAGTCGCATCCCTTTGATTCCGGAAGATTGTGGAATTCCCGCCCAAATTCCCCCCATCGACAGTTCTACCGACTGCTCGAAGTAAATCACAATTCATCATTTGTTTTTGTATTGAATTTTCTTAACAAAACATTAGGTGTTTGTGAGCTAAGATTTTTGGTGTTCGTGTGTCGGCATGCAGGGCTGAGGACTATCAATTTGGAAGTGCTTTTTCATACGAGCTTGAGGACAACCATAATCATTGAGCCCAATCAACATATACTCAGCAAATCCCATATGATATCTTTGAGGTTCTTCATGTTTCATAATAAGTCCCAATAATCCTAAATTTACATACTCATAGTACTCTTTGTATCTGTTATCAATAATACTTCTACCTATATTATACTCATCAATCCACCCTTTTCCGTTTTGAATGTACTTTTCATTCTCGAGAATGCCTCGGTCGGTCCCCTTTTCCCATTTCACTTATTTTGATCGCGAAGTTTGAGACGAGGAGAACGATAAATGTCAAAAAGTTCTGTTAAATCAATCTGATGAATCATGTAAAAGCATCAAACAGAAGATTTACAAACTTTACTTGAGATGGAATTTGATGTTTGTTGCTTCGTTGTGTTCCTATTTTGTGGGGTACCAACGTTAAAGCAAGATCATTAGCAAGAAGAAACTAGGCAATAGGCTAGAAGAGAATATGAAAGATGAAACCAAGCAAGAGGAACACCATTCTGCTGATTATTATCATACGTTATTTACATATCACACAAAGAAACCAAGCACCTAAAACTCACATAGAAGGTTAACGAGCTTGAAACAACACATCTTACGGATTCAAGATTGTGAAGTTTGGGCTGTCTGGCTCATCGTCTGGCTTTGGAGGCGGCGGTAGTGTCATCACTTGGGTGAGTTGGGTAGTTTCCTGATGTTGATCACGCTGCACCACTTGCAGTAGATGGGATATGAATATGGATGCATACAGAGTGGCGCCAAAGCCCACCGAGGCGCCAGCCGTTTTGGCCAATGCATCTTGAAACCTGCCATCTCCTCTCACCCCCCTCCGCTTTCTTTCACGGTAATCCTGCCAAGCTTCTTGTACTTTGTAGGCTGCCCAAACATTCCATTGATGGGAGTAGAACCTAGAGAACAAGGATTAAGGATCATGAAAAAACTTGTTGTTTATGGGATCAATGGTAGAACAATTTAGAACAATTTGTGTAAGTTGAGTAAGAAGAACATGCCTCACTGAGAGTTGGAATTGCTTGCTATTGAGATGCTGGAAGTGGAACTGACTAGTTACAGATTTCAACTCATTAGCCTTTAGAGCAAAGGCTTCAACCTCAGTAAGAGACTTCACTGTTCTGCTTGAAATGGGAAGGGAAGTGGAGGTGGGATCCATTGCCCATTGAACTAGTTCTTCACCACAAAAGTCACCTGCGTTAAGAACGCCCGAAAGAGTGTCGTTTTTCCAACCATAAGTAATAATGGTAGCCAACTTTCCTTTCATGATAAATAGCACCATATCAATTGGGTCACCCTCTTGCAGAATGAAGCTCTTCTCTGTGAATAACACAGGCTTGAGATATTCACACATCGCGTCCAACAGTTGCTTGTCCATGCCGCTAAAAAGTGGCACCTAAAGCATTCCAAGTTAACAAATGATGAAAATTTCTGAGGAATATGCCAAAGTAGAAGGAAAACAACCCACTTTCTTTAGAAGGGCATAGCAAAGATGGCGTTTGATGTCTCTCCTGAGGTCTTTAGGAAGGTTACCGATGAGTTCCTCTTCCTTAACTCCCCTGTTTAGCTGCCATTTGTACTGATCATATCGTCGAATACGCTGCCTCAAGTCCTCTGGGAGCATACGATGTGCCATCCAATGCTCGGCGTCTCTTCGGTTAATTCTCATCTGCTCTACTTTAACAGTTGCTGACTGCAGATATTTCTGTCAAGGGGAACAATCACAGATGAAAAAAAAAGAGAATGAAATATAGAATATGGAAGAGAAATGAAATCAGAGATACGGTTCATGTTTGAAGCATAATTATTTTCCTCTTGAACTTAAGGCAATTGCAAAGTCAATGAATTGAGCATCATCATGTATTACCTGAATATTGCTAATGAGTAACGCAAATAAAACCAAACCAAGAATGGCAATGAAGACAGCAAAAAAAACCTCCCCCATGTAATTGCTTACTTGAAGGTTTTGTCCACTAGAGCTGTAGAAACACAAAAAAAAGTTCCTTTAGTAGAGTGATAATATCAGACCGGGAGACAAAAAGGATTTTAAAACGCATCTACTAGGGAGAGGTTTCCACACCCTTATAAAGAATGTTTCGTTCCCCTCTCCAATCGACGTGGGATCTCACAATCTACCCTCCTTCAAAGCCAACGTCTTCGCTGGCACACCATCTGGTGTCCACCTCCCTTCGGGACTTAACGTCCTCGCTGGCACACCTTAGCAGATATTGTCTTCTTTGGACTTTCCCTTTTGGGCTTCCTCTCAAGGTTTTTAAAACGTGTCTGCTAGTGAGAGGTTTCATTCCCCTCTCCAATCGACGTGGGATCTCACAATTTCCTAGTAATGAAAAAACATGGGAAACTTTTACTTACCTGACATTTCTCAAAGCCCACCAGAAGGAATAGAAGAATTTGCGGCGAAAAGACGTCGTACTGGTCAATTGAAACTTAAGGGCTTCAACATACATCCCAAAGTTGAAGGTTTTTCCATCTTCAGACTCCTTAGGGGAGCAATACTGATCTATGTACGGCTGTATTTGTCTTCTTTGATTTCCACAGTACAGAAAATTGTCCTTACACTTATCTTTCCTGCAGGCCTCGACCCAGCATTTGGCTTGTCGTTCTACTGATAACAAATACCAAATGGCACCAACAACCTAATTCATTACATTCACTGCTCATAAGAGAATTCATTTTAAACCAAAACATAAGAACTGATTTTGTATTTACTATAAAGTCAAATGAACACATACATGACTAACTTGCATATAAATAAGGAGATTGAAGGCAGCTCCACTCCAGGCTGTTTCTGTCAGTATGCCAACCGTTCTGGTTACTTCTCTGTATAGTGGATAGATTCGGAGAAGTCTTGGAACATATTGCAAAAGAACTGCAATCTTCACAAGATCCTTTGTCTTTAATGGAACCGGGCCTCTCGCTGCAGGAATGATTGCTAATACCAAAAGCTGAATCACATACAAACCGAGTTATCTCAAGTAGTAAGTTCACTTCAGCAAGGCAATCAATACTGCTCAAAATAAAGGTTTCCCAAGAATCTATCCAATGACTCAGAAAATAATCCATTCTTGTACAGGATAGCGAAACCAAACAACCACATAATCTTTAGTACAATGTCAAGAAAGAGAAGATTATGGACTAAGCTTTAAAGAACTCATCATACAAAATATGTAACATTCCAAATAAGGAGAACAGCCAAAATGTTATGCTCTTGACGCAAAGACTAGACCCTTCAAGTATCTAAGAAATGGTTAAAGAAAAAAGAAATTACCATAACCTATAAATGGGTGACTTAAAATGGTATCTAGGAGAGTATTGAGTGTTGATAAAGGATTAAATTTACCACAACCCATCAACTTAAACTTTTGAGTTGAATGTTAATTTAACTGAAACTATACTAAACTTATACCTGAGGCAGTGGGAGAACGGATAAGATATCAATCAAGAAGTTCGAGAAGAGATATCTCTTTGCTATAGCTGCTGGATCTTCGATTAATTCTCCACTTCCAAATACTGGTAAAGAAGGGGGAAGAAAACCCGTTCGAAATTCAAAGATCATGTGAAGTACATAAAATAAGTCCATGACTGAACGAAGAACACAAGCAATGATCATAAGTTGTCGGTCTATGGTTAGGCATTGACGTTCTCCGTTGATCACTGGGATGTAAAAGAAGAGAGGATCCACAGCTACTGCTATGACAGAAGAGAGCACAAATATCTTGTTCCATTGCTGAAGAAATGGCTTCTGTGGATCAAGAATTTTCTTCCAGAACTTCGGTTTCTTTACTGACTGATCACCTGGATGCTTGAAACTTAAGTGTGTTATTATCCTTCTAAAGCTCTTATAAGCACTTAAAAATTTTCTCTCTATGCTCTCCAATATTGACCCTGGAGACAGTCTGCTTCCGTTTTGATAACTTCCATATTTGTCATGAAAATCAGAAGTTGGATGCCCAAACCTATATATTATCATAGACCAAGAGTAGAAGTACATGTCAGTTTTGATAGGATCAGGTTCAAGCAAGTTATTTGGACAACAAGAACAACTATGTGGAATAGACGCCATATGTGCATTCACAGAGAGATCATAAGTTGGTTTTCAGAAAATTTGACAGCAAGAGAGAGAAAGAGTTCAGAATATTCAAACCTTGTAGATTTTGGTATCTGAGAACCCATAAACTTGAACAGCAGTATCCTAAACGTGGCCTAAACTGTGGCTCTGATATCACTATACGTACTGCTTAGCTTCAGAAGCAAAATGTTTGTCAGTGAGAAACAAGATTCACAACACAACCTACAGTTCCATGGAGCTACTAGTAAAACTTGACCTTCCTTTTCAGGTAATATAAGGTCACTTGCGTGAAAGACAAGAAGTGGCAATTATGTAGAAAAAAACCTCTCTGTGGGAACCAGAAGGACTAAACAGGAGGGTCAGCCTGAGAGAGGAATTACTCAAAATTCCTTCAATAACCTGGTAGAGTAAAAGCCATTATGAGCTACAAGAAAGTGCTTTTTCTATCCTTCTTCCTTGTCTCACCGCAGGCATTGTAGACCAAAATGCATGTCGATTTGTTAGCAAAAGAAACTGTGTTAGAATCTTACTCTGGTTTTTCTGGTGCTGTCTGTGAAATAACAAAAACTATAAATACTGATTAAGTAAGCCCCAAATAGCCCAATTTTGGCGGTCAATAATGTCATGTTCCACGAGAGGAACTTTGCAGAGTTTGATGTGCTTATACATTGCTCCTTGACTTTCCCCTTTTTCTGTGAAGTGGAAAGTTCTTACTTTAAAGCAGTTGCCATGGTTTTTTCCTCACTACTTTATTAAAGGAGTGGAATTCTGATGGAACTGACAACAATTAGAACAGATATTACAATATGATTGGTGAAGTCAGAGATATTTACAATCCCTTTACTTGTGGGATTAAAAGCAAGGGCTCCTCTCTAATCATACCAGTCTTTTTTAAATAATTTTTGCCACAAAAGAAGAGCTTCTAAATTATCACATCAAACCAATTTTTAAAACAACCAAAGATTTTGGCTTCATTGGGGATTGAGTTGTGTTGTTATGAATATGTCTATTGGGATTAAAGGGATTAGCTTGCAACTGGAGCACAACACTTACCTTGTTGCAGGCATTCATACTAACTAAGATGATTTAGGGTTTGTTTTACACGTATATACCACAACACTTTGAACCCCTTTTTTTTCTTTTTCTTTTTTTTTTTTCTTTTCTTTGTGAGTTAAATGAATGGTATTTAGAAGATTCAAACTCTTACCTTTTATGAGATCCCACGTTGGTTGGAGGGAGGAACAAAGCATTCCTTGTAAGGGTTTGGAAACCTCTCCCTAGTGACACGTTTTAAAACCGTGAGGTTGACGGTGATACGTAACGGGCTAAAGTGGACAATATTTGTTAGCAGTGGGCTTGGACTGTTACCAATGGTATCAGAGCCAGGTTCTGGGCAGTGTGCCAGCGAGGACACTGGGCCCCAAGGGGGGTGGATTGTGAGATCCCACATTGGTTGGAGAGGGGAACGAAGCAGTCCTTGTAAGGGTGTGGAAACCTCTCCCTAGTAGACCCATTTTAAAACCGTGAGGTTGAAAGCGATACGTAACAGGCTAAAGCGGACAATATTTGTTAGCGGTGGACTTGGACTGTTGCACCTTTTCACCAAAGGCATGTATCATAACAGTGAATTATTTTCTTGTTCGGTGGTTCTTTTCTTAAGCTGGCTGTAAATAATTGCATTATTTATAGCTTATAAAAGGGTTAAAAGAACATTTTGGACTACGTAGCTACAAACTAAAGTTCACTAAATTGTCATTTTCCTAAAAGTTTGAAGGCCAAAATACCTTTTTAAAGGCTATTCTAAATTTTTTAGATTTTTAGTTTTAAAATTGTGATGGACAAATGGAAATTAGTGCCCTTACTACACATTAAAATCACTATTCACAAATTCATGTGAGAACAGATGAAAAGAAACAAAGGAAAAACAAAACTTATAAATTGCAATATTTTGTCATAAGGAAAAGAGATTAATCTATACCATATAACCATACCCCACTAAAAGGAAATGCAGATAGAGAATGATAAGGTTCTCACTTTATTACATGCACAGTATAATAAACAATTTGATAATGAAAAAGGGTCGTAACAAGCATTATTTGGTAAGATGAATGTTAGTTCAAAATGAGAGCAGAGACACTAAAAGCCCAAAAGGTTATCATCTCAGTCACTGTTTTTCTACTTTGGTGCAAGGAAAAGCCATTTCAAAAGATGGGTACTTTTTAGTGTATAAATAAACTCCACCCTATCGGACAATTATTAGTGCAGAAGAAAAGGAAGTGGCCCACTCTTCTCAATTATCGGTTCTTGTCCTCACTCACTTCTCCAAGAAACCATAACATTTCTGAGCAGTGGCCTAATGAGTTTATATCTTCTTCTCTTATGAATTTATAAGGTTTCCTTGCTTGCTAAGAAGCCTTTAAAGTTGTTCTTATTATGATACTAAGTATGTTTTTAGGTTAGCTGATACATTTCACTATCTTTAGTATTATCATTCTTTATGAACCACGTTATCAGATGTAACTTCATCTGTTAGCTAAAATGTATCAGAAAGGAAGACAGCAGATAACCTGATGGGTGCTTCCATCAATCAAAGCCATTTAACGAGAGCGGGAACAATCAAACATCCAAAAAGTACCATAATTATAGGATGGTCGTAATTGACCCATAAATCCAGACCAGACAAGGGATTAAAAACTGAACAGCCAGCTTCAACTGCCAAGCAACTGGATATCTCTGAAATGAGCAGCACAAGAGAACTACGGCTTCCCCTACATGACTACTTCCCTATCTACATTCCTACCAAGCAAGCTATGTGACTACAATATTTAAATAATTAAAATTTGTCGATGACAAAATTACTGAATGCCTGTTTATTAATAGACAATGAACTCTTGATTTCTGGTCAAATCTTGTCCTATCCTACTTATTCAAGTGGCAAAAAAAAAAAAAAAAAAAAAACCTCTGTCGCCTCTGTCTAGGATTTCTCTTCGTCTGGCAGCCCAGGGACAGAATCAACAAAGAACTCCTCCACTGAGATAAAATTGAGACGTTAGTGATTGGCAAAATGACAAGTTATGTAAATAAAGGCTTAGACTCGATTTCCGGGATTTCTTAGGCATGCAAGTGTCATGTTATATCTATGTCATCCAACTTTGCATGGACAACCAGATGCCTCTGAGTTGCAAGAGTCATACTTGATGAAAGAAAAGATTAAAATCTTCATACAAATGTAATTGCACTTACTATACAAATCTAATTAACATTTTCCAAATCGCTTATCATGATGAAATCTTACAGAACAATATATATATATATATATATATATATATATATATATATATATATATATATATATCTACGTATATACTCGGCAGATGTTTGATTTCAAAAAGGGTGGTTTTGGTTACATCAAACAATTTTGAGCTGAAAAGAGTCTGCAATTCCCATACCTATATCTTCTTGCTCAGGTGAATCAAGCAAAATTTCCGAATCTGAGGGCAAAAACGGAGAACCAGGGTAGTTACCTAATGGTCCTAAATCTGCACCAAATTGAAGAGATTGCATCAATATGCTACAAGTTATTCCAAAGAGAAGAATGAAATCTACCAGAAATAGGATTTTGTATCTTATTCAAAGCTCTTCCTGAAAGCTATCAAATTGTATGAAGCAACACAAGACTATTCGGTCATCTCAAGGATGCCCCACGCCACTGATACATTCATATCAGGGATGAATGTGTGGTCTTACTCTATGGTGACCGCTGACTATAAAATGCATTCATTCATCCACACAGGATAACTGTTCGACTCTGATTAGGATGCCTGTCAACCAAGTCCAACATCCTATATTTTCCAACTTTTTTGAGTTAATGGACTTCAGAGAAAAGTTTCCCTCCACCTGTTGCCCTTGTTCACAATATAGAAAAGTTTTTTCTCACTATCTAAATCCTGCTATATTTTGTGCAATAAGGATTTGTTGAACTATTGCTAAGTGGTTAAGAATACGTGGTCTTCAAAGCCTTATTTCTCCTACATGCATTTTCCAGAATTTAGATGTTTCTTTTTGTCTCAAGTATAAAGTCCAAAGTGATCGATAATCGCAACATTCAAAAATGCCTCTAAGTTACCTCCCAAATTTGATAAATCTGTTGTAAGATCTGACAGACAAAAATTCCACTGAATCTGATCCAATGATCTGAGAGAATCCCTAGAATTTCCAGCTCCACCATCTTGTGAAAGTTGCAGACCAACTGAATTTCCCATTTCTGATGTAAATGCAGTATCAAGTGCAGAAGTATCTACTCCAATTCCGGATATTTCTGGAGCAGTGAATGAGAAATGACCACTGGATGCCACCGATGTAGGACTCATAGACATCTCTGACAAGGAGGGCATGGTGCCGTTCGGTGGAATAACAGGAACCACATCAGCCTCACTGTTCATCATCATACTTCAATAAGGACAAGTATTAGATGCAATAAAATAACTACCAGTTCAAGTGAAAAATGAATTGTGCAGAAGTTGTGAAGCTAACGAATGCAAATACTGTATTACTATCCTCCATATATATTCTTAAAGCCTCTCTCATAGTCAGCACATGAATCCTAGAGGCTATGTCTTAGACACGGATCATTGGTCCCATGCAAATTATTACAGTTTCGTATCATTGGATGCAGTTTTTCTTGCTTAGTTTGTAGGTATCCAAAACTCCAGGAAAAAATTTTCCCATGCAAAATCTACAGTCACATGAACATGGCAGATTTTTCTTGAATGGATTTGGCTATGTAGTGATGATAAGATGATATCATGACAAGACTAGCAGCATGAGCCATGACATCCCATGCTAGTACTTGTGCACGATTATCAATCCCCTAGAGGTAATAGTTACTAGATTGACAAGGATGCTTGCTCAGTGGCCATGGCAAATTCTTCCGCTGTATTATATTTTTCATATAAGTTCGAACATATTTCCACTTTATGCTATCTTTTTTACCATTCTACAAATTTTCCAACGGTTTGTTTCATCAAAGGACGCGGTATTTAATGTTTTAGAATGTATATTAGCAATGACTTAACTTGGGCAGTTTTCTTACTCGTTCCCAGAGTTCATCCTAATAGGATGGAAGTTACTAGGTGCAGGAACGCCATTAACAACATGGCAGCTTGGCATCCCAGAGCCCATGGTATCCAGATGGGGTTGACCTGGCATTGACATTGGAGGTTGTTGAAGTACTGGATATCCCATTGGTAAGTTGTTAACTGCACTGAAAACAAGTAGTGATGAATAACAACGAAATGCTAGTAACTTGCAACATGGAGCTTTCTTACTTCAATATATAAAGTTGGGTTAATTAAGAGGAGCTACAACTAGGCTTGGCATTCCAGAGCACATGGTATCCAGAGCCCATGAATGGTATACAACTAGGCATAAACTTTCGGAGAGATCTTTCTCTTAAAGCACAAAAGAATGTCCGCAATTAATAATAATGAGCTACAAGTCACACACAAAAAGCCGAGCTCAAAATTTCATTTCTTATTTGCATGTGCCACAAAAAAATAAACAGGATAAAAATACATTCAGCATCTTAATTTCTACTGCTTCATATTCAACTTTGTCCGGCCACCATGAACAAGCATATTGATT